ATCTTTCATATGCAGACCTTATTTTCCTGTTCCATGTTAAAATAAACAATTTTCAGTGGTACGCTTAGAGACTAATTATTTTGGTCATGGAAAATTAGGTAAAGGTCATGGAGAAGTCATGGAAAAGTCATTGAAAATCATTGGTGAAAAAGTGTACGAACCCTGAATAATACTCTTGTACCCTTTTTGGGTTCCTAGATTACAACTTTCTTTCGAAATGTTTGCAAATATATCTTATCTTATTTACTGGCAGACAGATAAGAGAGGTGATAACCTGCTCACAACTAATACTGGTTATTCTTTTAGGTGCTGGAGTTTGAAGTTCAAGCAGTCCGACCACCAGTTCCTCCACCAGAGCAACGTTTTCCATCACATCAACAACATCCTTTCCAAGTCAGATGATGGTGACAGCGAGGAGAGCTTCAACATCAGCGTGCAGTCGGGCTACGAAGCAATGAGCCAGGCAAGAAGCCAATCACTGACTGACTTGCTTACTTATAAATCAGATCTGTATTCTGTTTGTCAACACGGATTAAACCAACTATTGTGTATGTGCATGACATGCACTAACCTGAGTGTGTGTGATAACAGGATCTCTGCCTGGTGACCTGTCTGAAGGATCTGACCAGTGTCGTGGACATCAAGACGTCCAGTCGTCCTGCCATGATCGGCAGCCTCACAGACGGCTCCACAGAGACCTTCTGGGAATCTGGAGATGAGGACAAGAACAAAACCAAGAGCATCACCATCAGCTGTGTGAAAGGCATAAACGCCACTAATGTGACGGTTCATGTGGACAACTCCAGAGACATCGGGGTAAGTGGGCAACGGAAGCATTGCTATGGTATGAATGCAAAGTAAGGACCAAGTAGGAATTAATGATAATATGTTTATAAAGGTTTCATTTCCCTCTGTTATATCCACAGAACAAAGTCACATCCGTCACATTCCTCTGTGGTAAAGCAATCGACGACCTCTGCAGAATCAAACAGGTATTGTCACTTTCTACTTCTTATTATTTTTATTCCATATGAATAATGTGTACCTTGTTGACCTAGCATTAGAATACACTACATACAATATACAGATTATAGATTACACATGCACATATTGAACATCGCCGTGCCTTTTCATCAAAGGTCGAGCTCGAGGCCCGTCACATGGGCTGGGTGACGAGTGAGCTTCCTGGTGGGGATCATCATGTGATCAAGTTGGAACTGAAGGGTCCGGAGAACACACTGAGAGTGCGCCAGGTGAAGGTCCTCGGCTGGAAAGAGGGCGAGAGCATAAAGATCCTCGGACAGATCTCAGCCAGCATGGCCCAGCAGAAGAACTGCGAGGCGGAGACTCTCCGAGTGTTTCGCCTCATCACATCACAGGTCTGTCTAACTAGCTTCATACAAACTCTGTATAAATCACCTGTGGAACCACTGGAGTCTCTTTTCAAAAACGTTGTTGTTTACTTTGTTGTAGGTCTTTGGGAAACTTATCTGTGGCGATGCAGAGCCAACTCCAGAGCAGGAGGAGAAAAACCTTCTTTCATCACCTGAGGGAGAAGACAAGGTCTGCACCATGGCAGTTTACCTGTACTGTGTGACTCAAATATTTACTTACCTTCAATCTGACATCTTACACCTACATTCTTTATGACCAGGCACCATCTGACGCAGACCTTAAAGAGCACATGGTGGGAATCATTTTCAGCAGGAGTAAACTCACCAACCTCCAGAAACAGGTAATAAGTCTAATAAGTTTTTTAACCCATTTACTGTGATATTATAATCTCAGCCCTTTTTACATGAACTGTATTTATTTCCAGGTGTGTGCGCACATCGTCCAAGCCATCCGTATGGAGGCCACCCGGGTGAGGGAGGAGTGGGAACACGCCATCTCCAGCAAAGAGAACGCTAACTCTCAGCCCAGTGACGATGACGCCTCCTCAGACGCCTACTGCTTCGAGCTGCTGTCCATGGTCCTGGCTCTGAGCGGCTCCAACGTCGGCCGCCAGTACCTAGCTCAGCAGCTAACGCTCATGCAGGACCTGTTTTCTCTGCTGCACACAGCGTCTCCAAGAGTACAGAGACAGGTGAGCCAATGCAAACACACACAACTATAGGTTTAGTCCAGGAGTAGTGGCATAATTCAATGTTGACCAAAGTCTAAAAGATTCTCTTATTACCCATCATTGACATTTCTAATGAGGATAATCCATGTTCTTCATTGTTTCAATTTTATTTATTATAATTAATATAGAACATACTGTCGAGGAGGCTTGCTTGGTAGCACATGTCTTCCGAGTCAGGTCCTTCAGAAGCGAGGCAAGAATCCTTCCTAGCCTCGGAAAACGAAGACTGGTGGAACAGGCTAACAGGTGTGCAGGGGTGCGTCATATGCGAGCACCTTAAATGGAGCACGATTTCCGTGCGCAAAGCATTGTGGGGATTTTTAAGACCGCGGAGGATACACACAGGGCCGCCCCTCCCTACAGGCCAATCACGCAGGCTGC